TGTGTGTGTGTGTGTGTGTGTGTGTGTGTGTGTGTGTGTGCGTGTGTGTGTGAGGTGAAGTTTGTGTGTAGCTGCTGTGAGCAGCTTGACTCAGTCAGGATCCTCATGGCTCCGTCTACATGAGTGTCGGACGGGTTTTTACAGCTTTATGTAACACAAAAGATCCAAACAGTGAAACACACACATACACACACACACACACACACACACACACACACACACACATCTTAAGCTGGTGTGTCTTTTGGTCTGCTCAGAGATCCAGTAATGAAATCGGACACAGCGTGAGACGAGGACAGAGGGAGAAGATGGGTGGTGGGCGACAGAGCGAACGCAGCAGGGTTTGTTTTTTAAAATCTGAAATGCCAATAATTAGGATTGTGGGTAGACAGGAAACGGGCCCCGAGTATGATACCTGGAATTCCAGCTCAAGGCTGAGCCGCTGATCCTCTTTACGTAACAGATTATCAACATGGACACAGGTTTTCTTTCATTTTCATAAACATGCCAGAGCTGCTCAGCAGACTTTGTTTTTCCACTAAAGCAAGGCAATAAAGAAAACACTCCCTGTGGCCAGAAGGGCCTCGGTATGAGACAGGGTTTCTCCCTAAATCAAAAGGAAGTGGCACTGTGAGACGCACACTCCATCCAAGGTTATTGCTTTTTTCATGTCGGGCACTGTGGACGTAGACAGTGGTGCTGTATAATAGACAAACAATGCGACTCTTGAAGCGAGGTGTGTTCAATGACACGACACAAGAGAACTTGACCAAATCCAAGTTTGTATTGTGATGTAATGTCTGTTTTCTTCTATTTTTGCTGATTAACTCGATTTATCTGGGGTGAGAAAAATCTACTACATTTGAAATCCCTCTCCCAAAAAAATAGAAAGGTAGAATTTGTCCCTGTAGAAGAGATTCTCTTGTGTTTTTTTATGTCATTGTTTTCTGCAATAGCAGTTCAATGTATTTACATTGTTATGTTACAATTAATTAATTAATTAACACTGTGAAATGGTTAAAGTTGTCAGACGAAAACACGGGCAACTCCCAGACCCGACAACGCCATGGTAGAGACCTGTCAATCACTGTGTAGCCCCGCCCCTAAAGCATCCCCTGCTTTATGGTCTGTTTGACTCTAAATGGACCATAATGTACTAAATGAACATCATGCTGTGTTGAAGAAGACTTGAAACTAGAGATTGAGACCATGAACTCATGTTTACAATGTTTACTGAGGTAATAAATCAAGAGAGAAGTAGAGTCATTTTCTCATAGACTTCTATACAACCAGAGGAGTCGCCCCCTGGTGGACACTAGAGAGACTGCAGGTTTAAGACACTTCAGTATTGGCTTTACTTTTCAGATCCGGAGGTTGGCACCTGGGTCAAAAAAACACAGGACTTTCACCCGGGAGACCGCTGTTCAACTTTAACTGTTTTTGTCACGTGATACGTCAGTCGGTCAAGCTAACCACAATCTTTCCATAAACCCTTTTGTTGCATAAACCTGACTTCCTGTTAAGGCTAGGTAGAGGGGAACCTTGAGTGTAATAGTTTGATATTAGGGCCATTGACCAACCAAGTGGCGGGGTGTGCCATCCCTGTGTGGGATTACCTTTCCCTTTCATTTACATTTTCCAGCGTTGCTGTTGAAATGTTGACTAAATCTGCACGTTTCTTGTCCACACTCACCAGAATGAAGTCGGTCTGATACGTCGACAGCATGAAAACGGAGATGTTGTGGTCGGCCAGCGGCGCGATGACTGATTTAGCGATTTTGGTGACCCCAATGGGCTGCGCGTTGGAGGCGTTGCCGCCGCCCGACACCACGTTGAGGGCCAACCACGTGGCGTCGGCAACACTGATGTGCTCCGACTGGGGCAGCTCTGGGGACGGACAGAGACAGTCATGTCAAAAAGACACTAAATGAGAAGAAGATGCTGATTTAGGACGAGCTAAAAGAGGCTTATTTGTTGTGTAAAACACAGCTGTATTTGATAATGTACAAGAGGTTTAAACATGCAACTTTTTATACTCTTCATAGCTCTTTGTTGGGAAATATTTACAAATCATGATGCATTCTTTCAACAGCAGTTTGGAATAAATAGAAAATAAACTGGGAAGTAAGAATGAGCAATGAACACGACTGTTTCTTATCTGTTGTAGTTCCTGTTTTTCATCTTTAAATCACAAGGCCTTTGTCATTTTGTGCGTTATATTTTATTGTTTTTTTTTTCTTTTAACTGTTTTTTTGGTCTTATTTTTTATATATTTTTTCTTGCGAAGCCCTTTGTGATCTCGTTCTATGAAGGTGCTTTAAATATATACTGTATATATTTTTTAATATTGACTGCTACTGCCGAAGCATTTTTATTATCTGGACTCATAGAATATTATTCTCAGCCTCCAGTCATCTGTGGCAGACTGAATGTTAGACCACATGTTCCTCCCTGCCTCTCTTTGGGTTTCTGACTTCAACATTTAAACGAAAGCTCATTAAAGAAAGATTTAATGATGAAGGGAAGGTTTAATGTGCTAAACCTTCCCTTCATCATGGTTTTAACAATGATCAGAAAAATGTTTCACTCCTTTCAGTCATTTTTCAAGCAAAATCCCACAAATATTTACTTCTCAAACATGAAGATTCGCTGCTTGTTTTTATCATTTATGAAAGTGAATTCAATATTTTTTGTTTTGGACTTTTGCTTGAATAAAACCAGCAAATTTCAGGATGTATTTCTGGGGCTCTGGAAGGTTTTCATGAACACTTTTCACGACTTTTTGACATTTCACAGACTAAACAGATCAGTTGATTCATCAAGAAAATAATCAGCAGATAATCACTTATGAAAATAATCATTAATCGCAGCCCTAATATTTAATTAAAAAGCTTATTAAAAATGTTACCATCTAATTGCATTGTGGTGAGCGTACCAATAATATCATATTATCTGAATTATTAGCCAAACTCGACTTCAATCGGTTATTCAACAACCTGTAACATGCAGTAGATTAATGTTACCACGAGACGAACATTTACTGCATGATTGCCTCAATAAGTTACTGTATTGTGTAATAATTCTCAGACATTAGGAAGCTCACTTCAGTGCTCAGGCCTAATCATCCCTTGGACATAATTCTGTTCACATAAAAGGTCAGAAAAATATCCTTTTAGCGTCTTCTGGAGGTTTTAAATAAACGTCTTGCATTGCTGGCTTTAGTTTCTTAGTTGAACTCAACAGAAAACAGGCACCTACACAGTCAGAGCCAGGAGAAAAGACCTGCAGCAGTTATGCAACACATCGCCCGAAGTCTCCAGGGAAACCAAGGAGGGTCACCCTGGAAAAGGGTGCAATGACATGAATTCACTCAATCAGCCAACCACGAAAAACCCGGCGGCCGGTAGCTCGGCCTCACGTCCGTAATGACAAAGTGTGCTCAAACATTGGCAGTATGAGGCTACGTGGTGCCGGAGCGAATCACAGAGTGCACAATGGGATCTGTTTCCTGCCGAACTATGGTTGCCACAGCGACTTTAAAGAGAGAGAGAGAGAGGCCCACCTTTAAAGCCTTCCTCGTCGACGATGATGGTGTAGTCCTCCGGAGTCTCTGTCAAGCTGAAGAACTTGCATCTGTACGGGAGAGAGGCAGAAGAAGAGAGGACGGATCAAACAGTGTGAGAGAGGCTTGAGGGGACAAAAGAGCTCCATGCTGGATTAAGCTTCAAGTCTGTCAAACCATTTTGTTTTGAATAAGCAAGCTTTTTGTTTACAATTATGTAATTTGTGTTGTTCATTTCCAATGCATATCTTAAATATTTATAAGAAAATTTATCCAAAAAAGGACAAATTTAAGAAATGCACTGACTCAACTTGCAGTGCCCTGATGGATAATTTGCACATTGAAATGCAAAGTTACTGGCTGAGAGAACAGTGGTCCGCCCATCCATTACAACAATAGGTTAACTCACTCCACGTATTCTAAGGTCACTGTTTTATACTCAACAATTCAGCACAATTAACAATGCTTTCATGATGATAATGTGTCTCAAACACCATGAACAGGACTGGGTCACTTTTTTAAATGTTTTTGGTACGAAATGTGTCGCTGGCATTTAAAGTCTGGTCGGATTCAGCGTTTTAGATTTAATTTCATTTGTTCGCCAAAACGTCTGTGCTCCCTTTGTTCTGTTAAAACCAGCATTCTACTGAAATACGTCACGTTTCTGTCTGAAATCCAACTGTCAAGGTTCAACGCACCGAACCAAAACTGCTCCAAGATAAAGACGGATATTGTTTTAAAAAAGAAATCAGCTTGCAATCGCGTCCAGCTGACTTTCTCAAGCAGTGCAGAGGAAAAACAGCCACGCAGTATTAACACGACCGTGATAATAGACGTCTCTTACAGGCCAGCTACTGAATGCTCACACCTCATATTTGTCTGAAAGGTGTGAGAAGCAACAGAAGAGACTCAACAATGCTCTCTGTGGGAACGGCAGCATTTCCTCTTGGAGTTAAATCAAGTGTCTCTTTGTCTTGCAAAATCAAGACATTAGGAAGATGAGAACTGGAGTTTTTGTCTCGTGCCTGGGTTGATAATAAGACAACTTTATGTTACTATGAGCATTACTTAAGGACTTGCTCTATTCTATGAGTTTTCTGTTCAGATCAACAGTGAAAAGAGCAAACATGGAGAAGGCCCCACCACCTCTCCTACATAGCAGCAAGACTCAAAGACTTTACAGTTCTTTAGCCTCTTTTTCATTGTTGTTTTGTGTCTCTTTGTTGTTGCTTTGAGTTTCTTTGTAGTTGCTTTGTGTCTCTTTATATTTGCTTTGAGTCTTGTTGTAGTCATTTGGAAGCTCTTTGCAGCCGTTTTGCATCTCTTTGTAGTTGCTTTGAGTCTGTTTGTAGTTGCTTTGTGTCTCTTTCTAGTTGCTTTGAGTCTGTTTGTAGTTGCTTTGTGTGTTTGTCGTTCTTTTGAGTCTCTTTGTAGTTGCTTTGTGTCTTTGTAGTTGCGTTGTGTCTCTTTGTAGTTGCTTTGAGTCTCTTTGTAGATGCTTTGTGTGTTTGTAGTTGCTTTCAGTCTCTTTGTAGTTGCTTTGTGTCTCTTTGTAGTTGCTTTATGTCCTTGTTGTTCTTTTGAGTCTCTTTTGAGTTGCTTTGAGTCTCTTTGTAGTTGCTTTGTGTCCTTGTAGCTGCTTTGCATCTGTTTGTAGTTGCCTTGTGTCTCTTTGTAGTTGATTTGTGTGTTTGTCGTTCTTTTGAGTCTCTTTGTAGTTGCCCTGTGTCTCTTTGTAATTGCTTTGTGTTTGTAGTTGCTTTAAATGTCTTTGTAATTGCTTTGTGTGTTTGTAGTTGCTTTAAATGTCTTTGTAATTGCTTTGTGTGTTTGTAGTTGCCCTGTGTCTCTTTGTAATTGCTTYGTGTGTTTGTAGTTGCTTTAAATCTCCTTGTAGTTGCTTTGCGTGTTTGTAGTTGCTTTGTGTCCTTGTAGTTGCTTTGAGTCTGTTTGTAGTTGCCTTGTGTCTCTTTCAGCTGTTTTGCATCTCTGTGTTGGTCTCTGTTTCTTTATTGTGTGTGTTTATTTTGAGTCTCTTCCTGGTTGGCAGTGTCTCTTTGAGTGACATTTGTTTGGCGGAGGGGGCCCTGACACCTTTGCCCCCTGGGCCTGTGCCCATTGCTCACATTCTATGTGTCTGCAAGGAACTTCACAGGGAGTCTTTAAATTCATTTATACTGCGGAGCAGTGCCAAACACCAACAACAGAGAGAAAGCACAACACAACACACACGTTTGTAAAAACTACCTTTTCTTGTAGCGACCCAACTATGTTTGTGACACTGAGGATCATAAAATACCAGAAGTTGGAATCAAATGCTGAATCAGATTCTCAGCTTGTTTTCTTATTTCCTTATCAAAGGAAAATATACCTTCTTCTTCATGTAAAGCTGCTGTAATAGATTTTTTGGGTAATTTGCAGGGAGCAGAACAACCTTAAAACAAAACACTGACCTTCTAAAGTTGACATGGTTGTTGTGTTTCTGGCCACCCGATGAAAACAAGTCTAATGTTTCTCTTTTCTGTCTCTTTAGCTGCTAAACGCTCCACTGTGTTCACCAGCTAGTCGCTAACTGCACAGGTTGTGTTCAATGAGTTTATTTAACCAAAATCAGCTGCCTGCTGCTGGAAACTGGGTTGACAATAGCTTTGTGCAGGTCATGCAATTATTCATACATTACCTTCATCTTATTTTTCTTAAATAAATAACATAAGTTAATTTGTGTGACTGCATGCAACACAGATAAGAAAATGGAATGAGTATATAAAGCTGATTTGAATTCACAAATCAACACCTAAGCATTCATGTGCATACAGTGGAGAGAAGAGGCACAATGCATGATGAAGATAAAGGAGCTTATCCACCGTCAACGACATCAGAGGACGGGGGTGTGGAGAGACGACTCGGCTGGAAAAATAAACTAGCTGCTAAACTGGTGTCATCCAAGGGACACTCGCGTTCTGCAGTGAAATGATATAAACGTATTGAATCATTAATGAGTGGCGGGCTGCCATGAGCACCCAAAACTTAAATAAGGTGCACCACTCGAGAGTTTGCCCAAATCCAATTTACTCTGGTTGGATTTGACGAGAGCCTGTTAGACAGGATTCCTTCAATAAAACATGAGGAAACTGAACTTTTTGCTTCAGGGGAAGACGTAACGAATTACTCTCCTTATTGTAGAACAGGTGTTTTGTGTGTGTACTTTTTTGAGTTTTATTTATTTTAGTGTTAGATTTTTTGTATTATCTACCTACAGGTGAATAGGGTAAAAAAATTAACTAATAGATGTCACCATGAAACTTCACCAGTTGTTTACTTACATTAAGACAATTATTTTTTGTATTACAAGTTTTCTGAAATGTTATGTTTAAATATGCAAATGAGGCGTTATCTAATGGTAACTGTTGGTGAATTTAGGAGAGATCCCAGCCCAAAATCTCAGAATTGATCAGTGCATGAAAACCGATGCTTTTGCTCGTAGTGTCTCCCTTTAATTAACCACTGGTTTAAACGGCACACACCGCGCGCACGCTAAGTGACCCAAATCTAACGCACCCCACGTTTTTGCGTGAACAGGTGATCTGACGAACTGAAATGCTCACGAGGTGCATCGATGTGGTGACTTCTACATTTACTCAGGACCTTTTTGTTTTTGTTTTTTACCGTCATCGAGATTTTTTTGCGCAACATAATTGAAAACTTTGCGCAGCGGAACCAGAGAGAGACTGGGACTGGTTTAACTGGGAATAAACGAGCAGAGAAACATGGAGCAGATGGTGGAGGAACATCGCGGTGCTCGAGACACACAAGAGCCGCTCAGACAGGTGAGTACAACAACACACACGGAGGGTTGTGCGCGTGAATACATGTGCAGCTCTCCTTTTCGTCGCTGTAGTTTGTAATGTTTTCATGTTTGTGTTGTCTGCTTTGAGCGTGTTTTCTTGCAAATGCACCCGCCGCGGTGTCTAGTTGTTTGTTGTTTAATTGACAGTTTCCGGTTGTATAATTGATGATCACCGGCTGCAGAGCTCCGTCTCGGCTGAAGGTGTTGGTCATTTCTTTGGACATGAGGTTGATGTGAACGTTGGTATGTTAATGCAATATGTGTGGTGGACTAAATGTCTTGTTTATAGTTACTGTGAAGAACTTTTATCTGGATCCGTCTCAGTGTAGTCCTGGTCCTCTATCAGACCTCCATCAGTAAACAAGACCATCAGAGAGAAGATGGTCTATTTATAGAGTTATTCTTAATGCTCGTCATCGGAGCCACCGGGTCGGATTCTGGTGAACTCAGATGAACTCATGCAGGTTCACCAGAAACTCCTTCAGCTCAGACTCCAGCGGGGGACTCCAGCAGAGACCTGTCCACCGTGGACAGACCCAGATCCTCCAGCAGAGACCTGTCCACCGTGGACAGACCCAGACCCTCCAGCAGAGACCTGTCCACCGTGGACAGACCCAGACCCTCCAGCAGAGACCGGTCCACCGTGGACAGACCCAGATACGGCTTCTCTGCAGCCTTGGACCTGCAGTCGGAGCTCCGGAGGGAGGAGGAGAGCTCAGCTCCCGGCAGCAGCATCTCCTCCTCCTCCTCCTCTCTGGGAGCCAACACCGACACCACGCTGCTGGAGACCCAGGACGTATTGCTGGACCCGCTGGAGGGAAGGGAGGCAACAGGAGAACCAGAACCAGGACGGGCTCCCAGTTGTCGCTGTTGCTGCCGGGAGATGAGCTCTCCTCCGGAGCTCTGACTGCAGCTCCAAGGCTGCAGCAAAGCCGGATCTGGGTCTGGTCTGTCCACGGTGGACCGTTCTCTGAAGGAGTTTCTGGTGAACCTTTGTGCCGTAAATCCTCTGATGTCACAGTGAATCGGACACGATGACGGTCAACAAGAATATAAGACAATTATCACTATTAAAAAATATTCCACACTTCTCTCTGATGGTCTCTTTACTGATGGAGGTCTGATGGAGTATCAGGACTAAACTGAGACTGGTTCAGAACCAGTTAAAAGTTCCTCACAGTAACTTTAATTGTCCGAGGATTTAGTCTAAAACCAGTTCTTTGAATGAAAATCAACTATTATCGGACACATGCAGGTCAAATAGATGATTCAGTGATGAACCTAAAACACAATCTCTTTCATTCTCGTAGCTTTTTTAAAATCAAAATATTCAAAACTGATGTGAGTTCTGTGCTGATGAGCCTTTAATAGACTACAGACTCATTATTCTACTTAGCTTATGACAGTTTCTAACAACCAGCAAACAAGTTGGTTTCAAGGCAACACCACACCTATCATGCGTTTTTACTTCCTCACTGAAAGCTGTTATTCAGACACAACTAATATGGTTGCAACTAAAATAAATTTTATTTAAAAAATGAATATTAAATCTCTTTTCGTGCCTGACAAAGAAACATCCTGTCCTTCTATTTGTCAAAGTGATCCGCCGCTTTTCATATTGGAGGAAGTCCACCTAGCCTGAAATAAAGACTTCACCGCCATCGTAAAATAATAATACACTTTTACGAAATATAGAATTAATCTTCAGTGGAGAAAAAGAAGCAGAGTTTCTGATTTCCTCAGTGAATTCCATACACAGTCATTATTGAGTGGTATATTGTTACGGCATCTGCTAAAGTAATTGAATGTGGGAGGCGAGACTTGTCGAGATGTTTTTTTTTGCAGCGTGAGGGTTAAATACTGAGAATAAAGCACTTTATTCATTAAGTTTAGGTTTAATTACATTGAATGATGGATGAATTCTGGCTGACTTGTTGGGTTTTTGGGCATTTCCGTATTATTTAGTGCCAAGTAGAATATATCCGAGACGACTTCCAGTCGTATTTATGACTCGGATGTGGAAACTATTCACAAGCCCTAAAACTGGTATTTACAGCATCTCAGATATCACCTGAATGCAGCACCTGTGATGAACCCTGAAACGTGCTTTTGCAGAACATGTGCATAAAAAAAAGCACCTTTTCAAATTTCCAGCCAGCAAAACACATCAGTTCACACTGAAAAATAAAATTAATAATACAAGTAATTAATACAATTTAAATAATTAATCAGCAACTATTTTTATTGTATATTTTTCTAGCAAAAAAGCAAAAACATTTTTTTTTTTAAATCTCTGCTTCCAGCTTCTCCAATATAAAGATTTGCTGTTTTTCTCATTTTAATATCTTTATAACATGAATATATTATATTTGTGGGACGTAACAAGACATTTGAAGATGTCACCTCGAGTTGTAGTTGTACACTATTAGTATTAATAAAATGGAGAACATACGATGTTTAATAGCTGAAGCATGTTATAATAATACTAAATTAAAAATAACAACTGTGAGCTTTTAAAATAATGTCCGATGATTATTAATGTATGCTCCTCTCTGTATCTTTGACTCACTCAATCATGTCAGTTGTTTTCAATCCATGAAAAACAAAATAATATAAAATATTTGAATACTGCAGTAAACTGGTGTACTGTAATGTGAATCTTTCATTGTTCTCCGACTGATTTTCTAGAGCAGACAGATTGAGGATGAATCAACAATGAACATACTGGTTAGTTAGTTGCAGCCTCATTAGAGTGACTTCCAGTAACTTCTCAGCACAGACAGTTTGGGCTGTTTCAGTACAGGGAACACATTTGGTTACACAAATATTAATACACTTATAGTGGTAATAAAATAAAGAGTGTCAAGAAAAATACCTATTTAATTAAAGTTTTCCTCAGGGTGGAAAATCAACTTTCTTCATCCTTATGCTGCTTGTTCAAGTCATAATTTCCCCCTTTTTAGAGAAGGAAAAACAACACACACTACACACCCACCCACCCACTACACCCCCCTCTGGCGTCCACCCAGCTACAGATGGCACAAAGCTACAACATGACACTACAGAACGAGGACAGGCCTGGAAGCTGTCTACAGGGACTCTGAGAATAAAGAGTTGTTTTACAGCATGAAACACTAAAACTACAGGATGCAGGAATCAAACCCGCGACCATTACAAGTGCACGCAGCCTGCCGGCTCTAGTTTGCTCCGGTGTGCACAAACAGCAGCATCCTGACAGTGAAAACGCAACATAATAAACGACACAACTGTCTTTTTCTACGTCGCGTCTGCGAACTTTACGTTACCTTGTTTTGGAGGCCAAGAAAGCGAGTTTAATCAATCCGTGCGTGCAGATCTGGATCCCCTCTTTCGCTATACTCGCCACTTTCAAGCTGTGCTCTAAAATGTGAAGCTCCATCTTTTACGTCTTCTCATTTGAGGAAAGGCTTAAAATGTTTTTGAGAAAAAAAAAAATATGATGATGATGATAATGATGACTAAATACTTTCAGATAAGAGGCATGAATAAATAAATAAATAGGCGCACGGCAGGTGAAAGGCGTTTTAAATAGAGAAAGAAAGAGAGCGAGGCAGGGTGGAATAAAGAAAGCTAAGAGGTAAAAAAAAACAAAAAAAAACGGACCTGCTGTCAAAACCTGCGACGGAACCACGCGCACTTCCGGTTGAAGGATTTCGAAATAAGAGTGCATGGAGAGAAAATATAAGTACCCAGATTGCTTTAGAATATGTAATTCGATAATAATTACATTGTTAAAGATGATTTCATTACTGTTTTTGGTAACCTCTTTAAAATAATATATATTTTTTCACGATAAATGTTTTTTAACTCATGAAACATAATACCGAAAAATATATACTTAAAATGAATTAAATGTATTTATTATTTTATTTATTATTGTTAATATTATTAATAATAGTATTATTAATATTATATATATCATTAATTTATTATTTTCTAAAATATATTTTTTCACATTAACTTTTTAACTCATGAAATGTAATAGTTCACCTGTAGTTTGTGAGGGTCATTGGATTTGATCAACTGCAAACGCTGAATGTACAAAATGAGTTTTATTTGTATTTAAAGTTTGGGAGGTATCTTAAGAGAAAAATAATAATTTGTGGCTATTGTGTCTATTTTTTTGTTTGTTAGAGGCGCACTATTTTCAACGTTTGATTTGGGAATAATCCAAAAGTACTCAGATTAGATAACTTCTTTTTGTGATCCAATGGTTTACGTTAGTTATTACAAAATGGTCTAGCTCAACCTTGTAGACATAATTGTAATTTCTGTATTTTATTAATTACAATAATTGTTGTTAGTCGTTCCACAAAACAAGAAATCTGAGGATGTCACTTTGGGCTTTAGGAAATTGTGATTAAAAATATTCTGACGTTTAAGAGACCTGGTTTATTCATTTGCAAAAATGTAACCCATTAATTGATAATGATTGTTAGTCTCCAACACACAATAAAAAAATGAAATGATACGTTTTCAACCAGTCTTCCTGGTTAGTTTTTTAAAATGTAAATATTAATATATTAATATAAATTAATTGAAGTGACAAAGAGTTTATCATCTGGTTCTAGTAACAGGGAAAATACTGTGTAGAGATATTTCTGTTTACATGCAGTTTATGATTGTCGGAGGAATTTTAGTCATGATTAAAAAAAAATAGGGTAACCGGCAGTCATTATTTCAGTATTTCTAACGTTCAGACAGACACCGACTGAAAAACACACCACGCTCATAAAATCTAAAATTTTTATTTTATGTTTCAATTCCGGTGCTTTTATTTTATATAAAAAACACGAGAGCGGAAGTGACCGCCTCAGCAGCTTCCTGCAGCTTGTCAGAGCTCAGGACCGCTGCTCCCCATGTTTGCTCTCCGACTGGAATAGTTAGCAGCTGGTCGCACTGAAACAAACAACTTGCCATTCAAACGAAGGGGGGCGGGTCTGCAATGGAGCAAGGCTTTATGGGAAATGCTGTTCTCTTGCCTACATGTCTGTACAGGTGAATTAGAAGGAAGATAACATAACATTTAACTTTATATTGTCTTTACATTCACATGGTTGCGTTAAATAAAATAAAATATAACAGTAAAAGACAATTTTAAGAAATTATATTGCAAACAATATTATATTTTTTTAAACTATATCATATAAATGTATTGTCCCGTGCAATTTCATTCCTTATAAAGGTAGTACAGACACTTAGTACTAAGTACTACACATAGTATAAATATAGGTATGGATAATAAATACAGTATACATACAAATATATGAATGTATGTAGTGTTTTATATAATATGAAGTGCAGAAATAGGAAAAAATAGTGTGCTTAATACATGATGTATACAATAATAATAATATATAATTGAGGATAAGGTGCAGGGTTAATGTGAAGTCTTTGATTTGATGTCCAACAATCGGACTAAATAGAAGTTAGTAGTGTTGAGTTATTGTTGCCCATCTCAAATAAAGCCACTGTAATTAATATCTTGTTTCCAAATCCATACGTTCAGTATTACAAATGCATTTAAGTGGAGCTTGGTGAGAACAGCTGTTGCTGTCATAGTATAGAGACAAACATAAAAACTATAAATACATTTTTACTGCACCTTTTTTAAACTGTAACCGGGCCTCTTTGGAACACAACGCTGGACCAGCTGAGAGCACCGCGTCACATGTCTGAATGCTCCTTCATGCTTTTAGTCCTCTGTACACATAGACGTTATTTAGTTCTGTACGTGAACAAAGCGCTGTACAATGTTTGAACCACTGAAGAAAGGCAAAGATCCCCGCGAGCAACAGTTCAACAGCAACCGAGTCCCGTTTATCAGCGTGAGCGACAAATTCAATATTTGTAGAGAGGTCTGATAATTATTTAGTATTTTATTACTTTCTAAACGTAGAGATGAAAGCATTATGTCCTATTAAGGTATGATATGTAAAATGAGAAGGTATACGCAGCTTAAGCTCGAACCTTTTTTAGGAATAAATATCTTCTTTAGAACGTTTGCTGAATGAGAACCAATGTTATATAAATAATTGGCATCCTGTTGCGTCTCCGGTGTTTTGAGTCTGAGTGACAGGTGGTCTCCTGCTGTGAGATTACCGTGGAAACGTACATATTCAACGATCACAATGGGGCTTGTGGGTAAAAAAAAAAAAACACACCGGCCTTTGACGCGTCAACAACGGACAGTCGCACTCGTAGTTCTTCTCTCATCTACTACGCTTGGTGTGTGTGTGTGTGTGTGTGTGTGTGAGAGAGAGAGAGTGAGAGAGAGAGAATCTCAGACCTAAGGATGAGTCACCAACTGAGCAAAAGCGGCCAGTTTCTCCAGACCCCCAGAGAATTTGATTGAAAGTTTGTCAGTGAATTGCACCACTTAAAGGCACAGTGTGTATCATTTAAGGGGGTTTATTGTCAGAAATGGAATAAAGTGTGATTAAGTATGTTTTCTCTAGTGCATAATCGCCTGAAAAATAAGAATTGTTGTGTTTTCATTACCTTAGAATGAGCCGTTTACATCCACAAACGGAGCGGGCCGACATGTTTAGTAGCCCGGTGGACAAAGTCGGTTTCAATCCTGAACCTCAGCGTCTGTCCTGTAAAGGGCTTTGTGTCTAAATAAAGCTTAGTTGTCGTTTATAGTGTTGTTAAAAGTATCAATGTCTTGATACACATTGTTTGCTTTTATAAAAACCGTGGTACAACATCAAAGTTAGATATTCGAGACAACACTGATATTTCCTTATTACAGGTGAACAGGGTAAAACAATCTAACTAATAGATCTCACCATGAAACCTCCCCAGTTGATTACTTAAATTAAGACAGTTTTCTTTTTCTTTCAGAATTGTTATGTTTAATTATGCAAATGAGGCATTATCTAATGGTAACTTTTGGTGAATTTAGGAGAAATCTACAGATGCAAACAGACAAAGTAGTAAAATAAATCTCTCCACTTGTTATGGAGGGAAAAATAGCCCAAAATCTTAAAGTTGATTGATCAGTGCATGACAATGTTTTTGCATGTACAGGTCTTTTGTGAACATTTGGCTGTCAAAAGTTGGGACTATGTATAAGTATTATTGTTGTTGTTGTTGTTGTTGTTATATAATTCAGGTTCAGGGCGTCCTGTTGCTTCTCGTCCATCGTGTGTTGAGTATTTTGGCCCAGAGGAGGAAGATGTGCACCAGACTTGGATCCGTTCCTCTGAATCTCAAACCCCATAGCTAACGATCTCAGAGTGCTTTTTAACACTTAACACGTTAACATGCATCTTTGGTTCAGTTTTATCACATAAGCTGGTTCTTTGTCATCATATACACAACTACAGAGAAGCAGCAGTTTGCTCCCTCCAACAACGCTCATTAAATATGCATAAAAAGAAGATAAAGTAAAAACAAAACTAGAATCAAAGACATTTATATTACTTTGTTTTATATTTTATTATAGCGCTGTATTTGCAATATATATATAATTTCCTAATTCGTTACCACTTAAGTTGTGGTAGACAGTAAATGTACATGTACAGAAGTAATAAATATATATTTATATACACATGCATATATACAAAAGAACAAGCAGGCACAGCTGCTTCTCCTTCCTCTATCTTAGCGTGCGGTTGTCCATGAGGCTCCACTTCTAGGTTTCATGTGAAAGACTTAAAGCACTTCCTTCCCTGACGAGTTTCTTCTTGTCTAGTAAATCACAGCAGCACTCGGGTGTTAATTGTCCGTAGCCGCGGGCTTCTGCCGCTGTGGTATTTCCAGCCAACACTCTAATTGCCGAAACAATTAGTAGTAAGCGCCCACAACAAAGTATTAATTAAGCACACAGAGAGACTCTGCTACCACAACAGAGAGTGTCAACTTATTTGAACTGGAAACAAAAGAAACGTCCCTCGTGACGGTTAACTACTGTACTAATATGTCTCTGTAATAAATACACAATAACATAAATACATAAAGACATTTAATACACTGAGGTATTTAAAAACATTAAAATCCACAAACATCATAATTATCTTTCTTTATGGTGCATGTTTAGAGATCACATCTCAGCACATGAACACTCTTTGTGGTTTTCCCTGTTGGATAATAAAACACTGTAGTGACACCTCATGAATATTTATCAACTTTTAAATATTCATGAGCTCATTGCCCTTGTTTAGATACATTAAGGAGTGCAAACGACATTTCTTTCTGTGAGAAATATTTAAAAAAAAGAATATAGATTATTCATTGTTTCTCACAGACGATGGACTCTCAGCCCGCTATGAAGCAATCAATTCCTCCCAACGTATATGGAACCCTGTGTAATGTATCTCCATTCACCTTTCATGTATAATGTTCAGTATTGATTACAAGTGGGTCTTCTATTGCCTCGTGCCTGTAAATGGACCTGAACTGGACGCTGGTACAGCTAAAGGAACAAGTGTTAGTACGTCTTCCAACTGGCCACATGTTGAAGAGTCGGCCTTCATAGATCAGAGAGGGGGTCTTTGTGTACAGAACAGTGTTTTCCTCTCCAGCTGCTCCACTCAGCCGCCTTCTTTTCTTCTTTTTTGCATTGGCAAACTGACCGCGGAGCTTTCTTCCCATGTTATGTCGGCCTCCTCCTGGCTGCTTC